TGTCAGTAACAATTTTTTTTGCTGTGTTTTTTATTCATATTTTAGATTTTGTTTCTTCTTTGTAAAGAAGTCCCTTTAACATTTCTTGTAATGTTGGTTTCACAGTGATGAACTCTTTTAGTTTTTTCTTGTCTGGGATATTCTTTATCGTTCTTTCAATTCTAAATGATAGTCTTGTTAGATAGAGTAATCTTGGTTGTAGTTCCTTGCTTTTTATCCCTTTGAATATTTTGTGCCAAGCCCTTCTGGCCTGCAAAGTTTCTGTTGAGAAATCAGCTGACATGCTTATGGGAGCTACTTGTTTCTTTTAAAATTTCTCTTTTTCTTTAACCTTTGGAGTTTTAATTATAATGTGTCTTGGTGTGGATCTCTTTGGGTTCATTTTGTTTGAGACTCTCTGCACTTCTTGGGTTTGTTGTCTATTTCCTTCACCTGGTTAGGAAAGTTTTCAGTCATTATTTCTTCAAGTAGGTTCTCAACCTTTGCTCCCACTTCTCCTTATTATCCCTATGATGTAAATATTGTTATGTCTGTTATTATTCCAGAGGTACCTTAAACTATCCTCATTTTTTTTTTAATCTTTTTTTCTTCTTGCTGTTCCTATTGGATGTTTTCCTCTACCTTGTATTACAAATCACTGATTAAATCTTCTGCTTCATTTAATTTGCTATTGATTCCCTCTATATCAGTTATCCCATTAATTTCTGACTAGTTCTTTTTTATATTTTCTAGCTCCGTTTTTATGTTTCCTATCTCTTTATCGAAGTTCTCACTTAGATCATCTATCCTTCCTCTAAGTTCATTGAGCATCCTTATAACCAGTATTTTGAACTAAACATGTGATAGATTTCTTATCTCAATTGTCTTTAGTTATTTTTCTGTAGTTTTGCTCTGCTTTTTTTTTTTTTTTTTCATTTAGAAAATGTTTCTTTGTCTCCTGGTTCTGCTTGCCTGTGTTTGTTTCTGTTTATTAGGTAGGTCTGCTACATCTTCAGTCTTGGCAGGTTGGCCTATGTAATAGGTAGCCTGTAGGGCCCAGGGCCACAGTCTCCCTGGTCACCTGAGCCAGGTGCTCCAAGGGTGTCCCTTGTGTATGTTATGTGTGCTCTTCTCTTATAGTTGAGACTTAATTGCTGCAGGCACATCCATCGGTGGGTAGACTTGACCCTCAGGCTGACTGGCTTTGAGAACTGATAGTGACTACAGCCGACAAGCTATTATGTAGGAGTGACCCCACAGAGCAAGATTCACTTTAGCAGGGCTCTGATACCTGCTGAGGCCACCCTTTGGGTGTGTCATTTGTGTCACTTATTGGGTGGTGCTCTGGGTTGTTCAAAGTTGGTCATCAAGTGTGTTGTTTTGGAAACTTTTTGAGAGGGGCTCCTGCATAGGCCAAGGTCAGCCATTGCCTGTGTTCACCCAGGGCTACTTGGTAGGAGCTACAAAATGATCTGCAGTTGGTAGATACCTGTGCTGGGCTAGGAGTCACCTGGGAGAGGTTATGCTATAAACTGAGATCAGTTGCCACTAGTGCCAGACCTGAAGCAGTTTAATAAGAGGTACAGGGCATGCCAAGGCTAGCCACTGCTTCTTTGGGTTTTGTGGGTGCAAGGAGTAGGACTTTCCTGTTTTTGCCAGAAAGTTTGCCTCCTGACCAGTCAACAGGGTAAATGTTCTGGTTTATTTTATGGAGGTTACTTATTCCTGGAATTAGTTAATAACAGCAATTGGTTTTTAAAGTACAAGTTCTATCAAACTAATCTAAACCTGATCAATCAAGGGGAAGAAGTAGATGCAATCTTTCCTGACATTTTATGTGTGGTAGCTACAATGATTTTGTAGCTACCACACATAAAATATTTCTCAGTAAACAAGGAAAACATGTTTTTGTTAGAGCCTGACTTTTAGTTGAAAGCATAACTCCTTGTTTGATTCTGTTTTTTAAAATATCCACTGCCTTTTTGGCAATAAGTGAATAATAACAACAGGAACAACAAGAACGATAAATAAGCTTAGAAGGGCAAAAAAGAAATATTCTTTATATGTAAACTGAATGCAATTTCGCATACTAACAATAATGATATTATCAGTTATATTTTGAGCACTAATGGTTAGTTTACATGCATAATTTACATTGGTATGTATTGACCCAAACATGTATGTTAGTTATTATTAGGAGGCTAAATTCATTCCTGAATAAGAGCCAAAATTTGTAAACCACAGTTTCTCTGGCTCCTACACTAATGCCTGTTTCATTCTATTATATCACTTACCAATTCATTATGTTAGTATGATTTCTTTTGTTTCTGTTGAAACAAAATAATGCTATGCTTTCTCATCATATTCATTGGAAAAAGGTAGATAAGCCTCATTCTAGGCCACACTGTTTACATGTTGGATAACTGAAATATATACATAAATATAGATGGCTTTGATTGCCATGAAATAAATTCATATTGCCTGTATGAGCTTGTATTTCTTGGGCCTCTTTTCTAGCAATTGGCTTGCTCTCCATTTCTATAGCAGAAATACTCCCTCACTAAAAAACGAAACCAGATCTACCATTCTGGTATCAAAGAATTTTTTTACTCCACTTCAGAATTGGAAGGGATATTTAAAGTTACTTAATTTAATCATTCTTTCTATGCTTGAATTTAATGTATGACATTGAATTAAACTTCAATTCATTTGAAATTTTATTTGTTGTATATTTCTTCTTTAGCTATGCTGAGTTCTAAATATATAAAGGTATATTGTGAGCCTTTAGGTGGTTCACAAATTAATGAAGAAGTGGGAAAATATAAATATAAGTATAAACAAATATAACCTAATAAAATTAATTTATTTAAAGTTTTCCTAAGACATAATAAGGGCATGGGGAATAGACTCTCTGTCTCTATCTGAGGAAGTCAGGAAAGACTTTCAAATAAATAGTTATTCTTGGGATTAGAAATAATAAAGGAGTAGGAGTCAGAGAAGGGAGGAACAGAGGGTTATAATAACTGATTTCATAGAGTATATCACATACATGTAATTGACAAGTAGCTCAATATACCTGGGGCATAGCACTTGTCATAGCAAATGAAAATTATTTTTGCCCCATTGCCTCTCCCAATAGGTAGGAAGGTTTTTTGAAAGAAGGTACTGATTCATCTTTCTATTCTTAGTTCCCTACAAAATGTCCACCAAATTGAAAAAAATTTAATAGAAATTTTACTTGACCAATTAAAATTGGGAGCCATTATCATTAATGGTGTGGCTGGAGCTATATGTTTAGATAACCTCATAATGTCTATGTAGAGTGCTAAAAAATAATTCTAAAGATCTAATTTGATGAATATCATACTGAAAAGTGAGTAGGAAAAGAGCCTGCATGAGATCTTGAAAAAGAGTAGTTAGATATATTAGGAGTTGGAGGAGATATTAATGCAAAGGCAATCGAGAAAGAAAAATCTTTCAAGATGTGTGGTAGCAAATGTCAAGTAAGGTGAATATATTCATTAGTTGTCACTGCTTAGAGGTAACTGAGACTATCTGGGGAGTTGTTTCATGAAGTAGTTGGACCTACCTTATTGTGTTAAGCTGAAGTATAAATTGACAGTAGAAATTACATCAAGTAATCCTTAAAGTGGTCCGATCAGGCAGGTTCTATGTAGCACCTCTTTTTAGAAATGAGAACACTATGGTTAGGGAATTAATAAATAACCAAAAGTATTCCAGTTAATTATCTATGGAGCTGAGACGTAAATACAGGTGACTGAATCACAGTGGCCTGTTGGACCTGGCCGAAGCTCTTTAGAGCTATTTATTAAATGTTCCCAAAATTTGTCAAATTAGTGTTAACTTGAACTAGGTCATAGTGAGAATATTTACACTGTAAAAATGGCAAACACTGTCACTAATTTTTTTTTTAAGAGGAGAGCCAGTTTACTTCCAAATCACTGAGGGCCCAAGGTATTAAATACAATGGTATTTAGGGCTAAGGGCAGTTTATTATTATAACGATTTATGTATAAACTATTAAGTTTAAGGTCATAGTCTACTCAAGCATATGTTATTATTTAGTTTATATATTATAAGAATGCTAGATATGTTCTATATCTATAAACTTCTGAATTGCACCTTTATACATAATGATTTATATTACCAATAAATACTATTACATGAACATTTTTATATAAACAGGTATATTCATGGTAGTATTGCTTAACATTGAAAGATTGGATACAAGGTAAATTACCTTTCTTTATATATGGGACATTATATAGCTGTTAAAAAAAAAGTGATTTTATATATTTACAAAAGGAATGATGTCTAAGACACATTGTTAAATGAATAGAACAAGATGTACAGTGGTGCATATAATATGCTATTTATGGCAAATACTTATATGCATGTCTCTATATGAGCAGGGTATGTATGAGAGGACAGATATGAACCTGGTACATGTAGCTTCATTTTGGAAGAAGTATGGAAAAACAAAGAAAAAATTTGGTGGGAGACATTTCTAATGCATTTATGTACAAATTACATAATTGATTATTAAAATCATTTAGTAAATACACTGAGAAGATACATAATGAAACTGACTAGTGGATATGAAGACCTTCCAATGTGAGATATTTTAGTATTTACCTAGACTAACAAAGTGTATATGTATTTTTATAGCTACCTACCTACAGCACTTGCTCACTCCCTACTCCCACAAAGCCCCTAATTAATTGTTGTGACCCCCCTTTAATCATTGATCTAGCACTTTTTTGACCTTCATGCATTTATTGGTAGATAAACCTAAGCACCTCTTTCCTTATCAGATAATTATGCTCATAGTAGCACCTTTGTTCTCTATGATAATACCCAAAACCTGCAACACATCAAGTCTTGTTTATTCTTCTCACAAAAGTAAGTTCTCTTTGCTTCTCTATTAAGTGATGCTCTTAGCAAGGAGGATATGACTATTTTTTCTCTCCTTATCTTGTAACGACCCACTATAAGCTATTTTTTTAATGGAATGCTTCATGAATTTGCATGTTATCCTTGCACAGTGGCCATACTAATCTCTGTATCATTCCATTTTTGGTATATGTGCTGCCAAAGCGAGTACTCTAAGCTATTTTTAAGCTATGTTGCTCGTTATATTCTCCTAAATCACTAATTTGTTCATATTAATAATTTAAAATGTTCAATAAATGACTTTCTACTCTATAAAATAAAGGACACGTACTTCAATCTCCAGGACACATCCCTTCACATTGTAGTTCCAGTCTGGTTTATTTTAGGAATGAATACGATCAGTTGTTCAAAATAAGATTAGGTCATGAAAGGGAGTCACTCAGGATATGAATACATTTATCAAGAATCAATGTGACGCACTAGCAGTAGAATGACATACAAAAGCAGAGATTGTGATAAAAGGACCATAAGTTATTGTAAAATATCAACTTGAATAGATGAGAGTGATCCTAAAAAATTGGCAAATGATGTTGCTTTTTTAACAGAAGTAGCATCTTTATGTCTATAAAGATACCACCAAGTGGACGATAAAGCAAATATTGATATTGATTTACTAAATGGTGTTCCAGTAGAATATTATGCTCTCTTTATCAGGTTGTTATGGTCTGTGAAATTGTATGCCTGAACCTGCAATAGTTTTGGAATTGGTATTGGGGAGTACTATGTGCACAAAGGCAGAGGTCTACCTATGTATGATTTAAAATGTGTATTACTCTAAATTTTAAATTTAGTGGTCTTTGATTTGATAATCCATGGCATTAGAAGCCTGGTCCCTGGAAAATCTGGTTCTAAATGTCCTTACTCTTCTTTGTTTTAATATGTTCCCTTTACATTATCTAATATATCTAATACTCAGACTTAGACTACCGTACTAAGATTGTATATTTATGTAGTTCATATATCTTAATGCAGTAAATAATAAATCTGGAATTTATCTATGTGTATGTTAATATATGAATTTCTATCTAATATTTTAAATTCTATTTATCCAGAAAAAATTGCTGTATTTTGTTTTTCTTTTCGACTACTTTGGGATAAATGCCTTATTATATATATTTTAAATAATATACATAAAGAAAATAGCACAAATCATAAATTCACAGCTGGATGAATTTTTATTAATTGAACCCACATTAACCAGTACTCGTTTCAAGAAATAAAACATTTATTTCTTGTTCTTCTTCTCCCTTGTTTTTTTTTTTCAGTCACTAACCACAAAGGTAGCACTATAGATAATTTCACGTGCTTTTGTGGTTTACACAAACAGAATCATATAGTGCACATTTTTTTATGTTTCTTTTGAATAAGAGTGTATTTGAGCAGTTCATGTATTGTTGCATATGCTGGAAAATTATTCACTCTACTTACAATAGAGAATTGAATGTGTTAATATATCTCGATTTATTCAACTGCTGATGGACATTAGAGTAGTTTTCAGCTTGGGACTATTATGAATAGTGTTAATATGAATACATAGTACATTTCTTCATAAATAGGAATTCCTGATGGATGTATACATGAGAGTGGAATTACTGAATCATAAGAAATGCATGTGTTCAACTTCAGATGCTTCCAGTTTTCCAAAGTGGTTGGACTAATTTACACTTCTAACAGCAGTGGACCCGAATTCCAGTTGCTCTAAATTCTTGCCATAAATTACTTAGAATTTTTCATTTTTAGTCCTTTTACTGTGTCACAGTAGAAATTCTTACAGGATGATCTGAATCCAATATTTATGATGTTCATGATAAATTGCTTCCCTTAGGTCTCATCTGTTCTGCTTTACTCTTTTGCCATGTCTCTCTGACTCCAACTGATGAAATTTCTCTGCTTTCAAGTGTTTACATTGGGCCCTCTAGAATAATCCAGATAATCTCCCTATTTTAAGTCTATGATTTTAATTACATATGCAAAATACCTTTACATCAGTACCTAAATTAGTGTTCGATTGAATAACCAAGGAATGACAAGCCTGGGGGTGGGACAGCTGACTACCACACAAACTAATGAGTTAGTCTGTAACCCTTTCTTGGATACTGGCACAAACTTGAGACTTGTGTGAGACAAATGCCTTTATTACTCTTAGCAAAGCAAGCAGTGCATGTGTCAGAATATATGTGTAGGTTTCCTTGTCCTAAGTCTCATGGGTGTCACACAGAGAGCCAGATAATACCTGCACATACATTGGGTTGGACTGGGAAAAAAACGCAGGCTCAAGGCCCTAGCACTTTTTGAGCCGACTGCACACATTCTAGTTAGCAAATAAGACAGTCGTCCCTGCTACCAAGGAGCATGTAGTTACAAAGTTGTCACATTGTAGTGGCTTTGATCTATTTAGTTGCCTGTGTGACTAGACACGTAGACTATAAGAAGTGGGATAAACTCTGCAATCTGGGAAAATCGGCAAGAATGTGCAGGGATGCTTAGGGTCCATGGCAAGCTGGCTCTCCCAACAAATTCCTTCACTGAGGCATAATAAATACATAAGTATTTTATCTGTGCCACTTCCTCTTTTATAACCTCGCTCACTTCTTCCCTCTTCCTCATTCCACTCCAGCCACTTTGCTGTTTATCCAAATGGCAGGTATATGCTTCCACAGAAGGTCAATGTAAGCCTAGTGCTTCCCAATAGATTTTTTTTTTGCAAAGATAGAAATAGTATGTAATCAGCACTGTACATATGTGGTTACTAGGCATTCGCATTCATTCAAAGAATTGAATTTTTAAATTTCATTAAATCTAGTCTATTTAAATTTAAATAGCCACTTGCTGCTAGTGGACTGTGTAGCTCTAAAGGTTTCATCTACTTGTAATAACCTTTTATGAATATTTACATGCCTAACTGTCGTTTTGTAAAAGTTTTTGTCCATATTGCACCTTCTCAGTGAGATTTTTTTCTGACTTCTCTACATAATGCTGCAACTAATTCCCACCTCACTTATAACATCCACCTCCATCTGTGCTACTTTTTCTACTTGATAGCAGCTTTCACTTTGTGATATAGTATTTGAGTATCCATTTATTATATTTATATTTAAGGCTTTTTGGAGATATTTCACTGATATCATTTTGTCTTTTCCTCATTGATATTTTTTCTCTGTTTTCTAAAATCAAATATTTTACTTTTAATATTTTCATAAAAAACTTGTATTCTAAGATTCACAGGTTTATTAACTTATCACTCTAACATTCTTTTTTAAAAATAAGCAACTAAAGTCTTACATAGTTTATGAGGTGTTGTATATATGACTTTATGCATTTGTAAGACCTCTAAAGAGCGAAACAGCATATGCAAATTTAAAAAATAAAAAAAAAAGATTTCAAGAGTCTCAGCATAAAATGCTGACTAGGACAAACAAATCCAGTTGGATTGCATAATTATTTTGGTGAGGGTGGGAGGAAAAGTAACTTTGAAATATTGTTTGAATAGGTGACTGGAAGACTCGGGGAAACAGAAAACTAAACACACTGTACTCTTCTTGATAAATTTACTTTTTAGAAGGATATAGGGATATGTTTTAAATTCTGAAATTACATGTATACTAGGGTTGAATAAATATTTAAATAATAGTAGATAATGGGGGCCAGATTTCTTGCTACCAGAGTAAGAAGCTATAAATAGGCAAGCAAAGAATATCATAAATGCTGTGATGCTAGGTTATATCAGGGATACCATTTAAATTATATTAAGTCAAGAGTAGGTGCAGACACAATTTAGAACATTTCATTAAAAGAGAACATTTTAATGAAAATTACAAAACAGTTAAATTCATATATTTTTAATTTAAATCCAATTTTATTTATATTAAAAACACAGATGATGCAGTTCTTTATTTAAAGACAGTTAAACTTTGTATTTTTCTCAGAATATAAGTTTTGCTTCAGAATTTTAAAATGATATATAGGACATTATAAATGCTCAAAGTAACAGAAAGTAAGAAATGCAAATTTTAAAATGATTTGACTGTCCGTTCTTGAATGCTTTCACCAGAACATATTTATGTATTCATTTGAACTATTTCTATATTTTATGAAATATAATCATTCCCCGTTTACGGTTTTTTATAACATCTTTTACATTATTTTATTTAATATGCTTTACATAGTGCGGTTTTGACATCTGGACATAAAATTAATAAAATCTAACTTGCACATTTGGTGACATTTAATTCTTTGTTTTAGAAAATAAATGCTGAAATCTGATTTTTATGGTTGCAAGTAACTCAGCCCTACCGATACCTTATTTTAGCTCAGTGAGAACCATGTCAAACTTTAGATCTACAGAACAGTAAGATAATAAATTGGTGTTGTTTTAAGTTACTAAATTTCTGGTAATTTGTTCCAATGGCAATAGAAATCTTATTATTTTCTCTAATCTTTTACAGCCTTTTTGTATTTCATTATATTTCATGACATTGCCAATTTTTAAAGGAGGAAGGTCACTTATTTCTAGAATATTTTCCAATTTTGATTTGACTGACTTTTTTTTCTTCTCGATAAGATTGGGAAAGTACCACAAAAGTGATATGCTCCTCTGTGAATAAATCAAGGGATTATATGTTGTCATCATCAAATATATTAACCTTGAGCACTTAGTTAAGATTGTGTCTGCTAGGATTCTACAAAAAAGTAAATTTACTTTTTTTCTTTATAATGTAGTTTATAATTTTCTCTTTGAAAGGAGATTTTCATCTCATTTTAGCTTAATTATTTGTCCACTAACTTATTTTATTGAGGAATTTAGCCTATGACAATTACTTCTTTGATATTCTGTGTAATTGGTGATTTAGTAGTCACCATTCTTTCTACATTTTTTTCATTTTTTAAATTTTAATTAGTTTCAAGTATATAGTACATTGGTTAGACATTTATATAGTTTATAAAATGATCTCCCTAATTGTTCCTTCTTTCTCTCTGGTTTTTCACCTAGCCAATATATTAATGCTAACTGCATTCCTTATGCCATGCTTCCCATTCCTATGACCATCTATCAACTACTAATTTGTACTTCTCTAATCCCATTCTCCTAGTCCCCCAACCACCTTTTCCCTCTATCACCAAATTGTCCACTATATTTGTGACTCTGTTTTT